AAAAGCAATTTATTGGTAGCAGATGGTCATAAATCAACACTATTCCACCCGTACTATATACCATTAGAATATTCCGTATTATGAATATTTTTTTAAGAGTTCGAAAGAAATTTTCATGTACATCGCAGTTTGAAAGGGTTACAGGTGGGAATTCCTTCCACTTATGTGACACAATACTGTATTTCGTATTATTAGTAACGCACTATGGCACTAAGAAGGTTATTGTGTCGTATAAATGGACAGAAATTCTCTTATAAAACTCAAGAATATAAGTAATTATAGGTTTTGGAAACTGAATTAGGGGAAAAACTGCGAGATTCGATACCTGAACCCTTTATAAAATACCTGTAAATGTGTACGGAACCCTCGGTGGGTTCCGTACACATTTCGGGAGTCCGACTCGCACTTGTCCGGTTTTTTTGTATTACATTTACTTCCCGTACCTATGAAACATTTGCTAGTTCGATTTTAATACATAGTAATGTAACCTTAATTTAAAGTGATTGACCGGGGGTTTTAATTTAGTTTACACGTTTAATACCTAAGTAGTAATCCATTTCTAGCGCCGGGTCATGGGTGATGGGTACAGTCCGTTTAATATTTCGAATAACCATAAAGTATTACACCATTAATATTATCGTAATTAAGTCCCGATTTGTCCATGTGGTGAAGGATTAAGAATACGGAGTTTTTACCACCCGTTTTTATTCATCCCGTGGGTGTCGTAAGAGACGACTAAGGGAGCAAACTACGCAGGACAAAACTGCAAAGAGAAGGAAAACTTGAAACAAACCCTATACTAACCCGTCTGGCCAGCGTAGTATAGTAGGCCAAAACCACCGATTTTAACATTTCATAACATTGGACAACGCATTTTTTTTTAAACAGTTATAGTAATGTGTAAGCTTCGGCTCGAAAAGATCATCACGACTGAAATGATACCACGACCTCAGAGGAAAACGAATGAGTGAGGTTACAGATGCCCAAGCCCCTTGATTATGGGGTTCAAAGGTTGGCAACGGCTACTGTGGAGTTACAGGTGTCTATGGACGGAGATAGTCACTTACCACCAGGTCAATCTACTCGTTTCACTTCCTACCCTTTTAAAGATACCTACGTTAGAAACGAGGCAATCCTTTGTACTTTATAGATAAGATGTTTATCGATCTATTCGATATGTTCCACACCATCAATTATACCCAGATAGCAACTCATTACTAATATAGTACTTAGAAATGTAAAAAAACACTGAAAAAAATATATTATCAAAAAAATTTAAGAGTTGACCCCTCGGTTTGATACATATTTTCGTGCGTCAATAAGATATATTTTACAAACAAATGACGCTTAGTTATTGTTACTATTTAAATTAAACGTACCACACGCGTAGATGACGCAGAACGTTATCTGCACCAGGAATTGGCAGTTAGCGGTCAGAAGCACAATTATAATTTTTAACGCAAGAAAATGATGAAAACAATAAATATTCAGAGTGATTCGTGAATAGTTCAGAGGATAGTTTTAATAATAAATTTCTTTAAACTTCGTTTTTTGAAAACTTGATCGTCTTACAGGAAACAATGGACATACACAAAGCCACATCATTTAGTCATCTAAACTCTACTTCAAATTTAAAAAAAAACCCTAATTTTAATATATACCTAGGTCATTCAGTCAGTCACTGCATGGCGATGACATGTTGGCGAAGTATCCGTTGATGGCGAACTTTGCAATGAATTTCTGTTTTGAGCTCGGATATGGTTGGCAAAACCATTTTGCCTCATGGCACACAGTGTAGTTAACGAACGTAAGTATAATGTAGATGACCGCTATTCAATCAGGCGTAGGTAAACAGAAATGCTATCAAGAAAATAATTGATAAATTAGGTGATTAATAGACACAATCATTAAAATTTGTAGTCTAAAAAGTAATGCAAGTAGGTACTTAGATAAACGCGATTGAAGTATTTATAACTTTACCGATTATGAATAGCATTAATTTCTTTGTCATAACAAGAGTGACAGGTGGGATGTTTCCTTTGTCACCCAGAATGTTAGACAATACATTAAGTATCAATATTACTATGCACTGCGTTATTGACCCCACCATATTGGACACTTGACAATAATTTGACTAAATTGGTATTTGCGTCAGCAACGCGTCTGAGATAAATATATTTGTGTGGTGTGCAAATGTGATTGTACAAGCGTTCATATTGTATCATCATAGTTGCTTTGGTAGCTTTTATACATAAAAAATGTTTTTACAGCGTCAAGAAGGACAATAAACACGTCTCACTTAAACCTATATTGTTATAAACAACAAAAGTGTTGTTATGAATGCGTTAAAAGTTTTGAGTGTCCAAAGTATATTTTTAGTATAGAATAAGGGTCCTTATACCTTGGCCTTGTTTTATTGCAAATGTGTCCGATGCTCGAAATGTGTGGTGGAAGAAGTTCCATGTCCATCCCTTTTTTTTTCTGTACGGATATCGCCTTGGATCGGAATAGACATAGGTATCGTGCAACAAATCGTATGACCATGAAAAACCCTATTATTTTGACATTACAAACAGACACTTCAATTTTATTTATTTGTATAGATTCATATCCTAAAGTATTACAATCTTAAAAATCCATTACCTATCAAAATTTAATCAAGGAAGTGTCGACGATTCCGTAGGCGTAGGCATATAACATGAAAATATGGTTCGGTGGAAAACCACAAACCGTTGTAATGTAGGAACGAGCAAGAGTGAAATGTGCCGCGGTCTCGTATATTTCGGCAGACGCGAGTTAATAAATTAACATCAACCTTGTGTAAATATAATATATAAAGGTACGTTCATGGCGTCTTGGGTGGAAATTAGGATGGAATAGGTTCTTAATGCATCTTGTACATAGTGAGATTTCAACGTTACTGTCCCTGTAATATAGCTATATCTACTGTATGTAACATAAGTGAATAGATAATATTATTGCAAAACTAATTGCATAATCATTTTTTTAAAGATAACGGCCGCACTAGGAATGGGTAGGTATATTCTGTCCCGGGAGACTTTACAAATATTCTTCAAACGGACACAAAAAAACACCCTAACTCAGAACAACAACTTGTGGATCACACAAAGCGTTGTCGCATGTGGGAATAGAACCCATAACACTCAGCGCAGCTGATAGCGGCGAGCAGCCATCCGGGCAGTCAAACTCACTTGAGTTCATTTAAAAAACATTGAGTAGATAGTAAGAGGTATCCGATCGTACACACTTCAGTTATAAGGGTTATACGGGTTATACGGGCAGACGAACAGATGGGTCACCTGATGGAAAGTGACCATCGCCGCCCATGAACGTCTGCAACTCAGGAGTCACAAACGCGTTGGCCGGCCTTTTAGAAGGGGTACGCTCTTACTTACGATGTACCCTGTGTATTCTTCGAAATAAAGAGATTTTGAAGATAAAGATGGAAGGAGACGATTATCTAAATTAATTAATCGTCAAATATAAAATTAAATTTATATATCGTCATTTAAATTGTTTTATATCAAAGTGCAAAGTTAGGGTTACATTGTAGTTAATATTAATTACAATTTGTTTTTCATCAAGTGACGCATTACCTAAATTTTTCAGTTTGATGACCAAGTACCTTCTATAGGACCCAGGTGGTGGATGAATTATATTTCAACCATTGAACAGTAAAATATTTCATGTCGAAATCCTCATCAGTATCAATTAGGTTCTATATCGGACAAATTCTAGCAATGCCGGTTCATAACGCAGAGGGATATTAATTCATGCGTTGCTATCAATGCGACAGGTATTTCTTTCGCAGCATCCTGCGATATTGCAAGAATATGCAGTTTTGTGCATTGAGTCTTATACCACACGATGCTTTAAGCCTTTCCCAGTACTAGCGTGCTTTAAGCCGTTCCCAGTACTAGCGTGCTAGTAGCAAGCGTGCCTTCTAGGTCCATTCGTATTTGATGTTTAGTGAAAAATATGTCTTAATTACATGGGGCACTGGAATGGATATAATTCGTTTTAGACAAGGTAACGATTAAAATTCAAATAATAAAATAAAACAGCGTGTATATTAATAATATATGTATAATTAAAATGTTGATCAACAACAATAATAATTGCTTAAATAATTTTAATACGATATACACTGGTGCTTATACAATTCCTTTTGACAATATATCTCTTACAACTACAAAATGAAAATAAATTAAATAACGTTATATTCTATAGCACTAAGTTTGAAAATAGATTTTCTGTCACAGCGCACATACGTCTTTCTAATCATTAAACAGAACGTAAACAATTCGATATTGAACCCTATTCCATAACCATAGAGTTAAAGATCACCTTTACCGCTAAATAATTATGTCATAAGTTACGTATTTTATTTCTACACAGATAGAGTTCAAAATCGAATTGGATTTACGTGACACAAATGACAGTCTTAACATGACGGAATTTAATACAAAAGTGTATTATTTAAATTATAACGTTTAACAATTTATTCACTATCTATATTAATACTTAATAAGCTCATCCATGACATTCTATTCAATGGATCTATTCAGTACAAAGTCATTTTATTATATTAACAACAAATCGAACAAAAAAAACAAATCGAATAACACAATTTACGAAAACAAATGTTTCATGAGTCGTGATCATGACCTTTTTAATTACATTATGGAGCGAGTTTAGAGATTCAATTTAGGTTATCAAATGATATTCTAACAATAATCAGTAACATCTTAAACATAGAAACTAAAACAGACAAACACTAACAATAGTATAAGTTCTGCGCAAAACAGAAATGTTATTGTCTGTTTTGGAGAATTTATGCCTAACTTGAGACATCAGCGAACCAATGTACTGTTTACTAGTACATGCAAATTATAACAAGATTATTAATTTGTAATACATTTCGGCTTTTATATGATTAGCGTACTTTTGGATACAAAAGAAAACTTTTCAATAGTTATTCATTTCAAAGATTTGTCTCGTAGGCTTCTGGCTGCTTGGAAAGTATTTTGCATAAGCATAGCAACTGTCATGGGACCAACTCCACCAGGGACAGGTGTAATTGCTCCAGCAACTGTACTCACACCTGGTTAAAGTAACAAAAAACATAGATACATTTTACATGCGGTAACGATAGAGTAAAGAACTCACAACTTATGAAAACTATCTAAATAAAATATGCATATTATTACTCCTGCAAATCCCTACCAATATTATAAATGTGAAAGTAACACTGTCTGTCTGTTATGCATTGACGGCTAAACCATTAAAAAGATTTGAATTAAATTTGGAATGGATATACTTTGATCCTTGCCAAGGACATGGGTACTTTTTACCGTGATAATCGACGTACAAGCGGCCGGAGCCACGCGCAAAAGCTAATAAAGAAATTCTTTTTTTTAACTTACCGTCATAGTCGACATCTCCAACTAGCCTAGATTTTCCATTGGCGTCAGTAACCCTTGTAATACCAACATCGATGACAGTCGCACCAGGCTTTACCATATCAGCTTTGATCAGGTTTGGCACTCCTAAACAATAATTTATTTATAATTTAGATAGCAGACTAAAATTTAAAATAAAATAAAGGCTCATAATAGACAAAAGTAGAACCTAAATTAAATTAATAATTTAAGTTGTAGTTCTCAAATTTTTTTTTTTTAAACCCACCTGTTGCTGAGACAATGATGTCAGCATTCTGACAAAAGAATGCCAATTGCTCTTTAGGAGTATAACGATGACAAATAGTTACGGTTGCATCCATTCCTAGTCTGTTCTCGTGCTTATTGTCACTATGTAACATCATGGCAATAGGCATGCCTACATTCTTCGACCGGCCAACAACCACTGCATTACGTCCCAAAGTCTCAATATTAAACCTAAAAAGTTTGACAATTATCACATCTGTTTATTTAGTCTATGATAGACTTTTACCGTAGTTTACAGAAATTTATTTAGATTTTTTTATAACATCTCTATTAAATCAATTTATTGGTTTACTATAAAAATAAAAAGAAGGAACTACACTATTTTTTAAGTATTTAAGTACTGGTAAAGTATATACAATAAAATTTAGCTAGTTAATAGGTTTTTATAAAATAACAAATATTTTTGAGATAAAAAAACAATTCAAGCTATAGAAATGGTGTCTGTACTGTATTAATACATTTACTAATTTTAAGAACTTACCTCCTTAGCATTTCAATAACAGCTAGAGCAGTTGCAGGAACAAGTGTTGACATGTCTACACACAACTTTCCAATATTGGTCACATGGAATCCATCAACATCTTTCTCAGGAGCAACTGCACAACACACTTTCCTCTCAGACATGTTTTCAGGTATTGGCAATTGTACTAGAATGCCATCCACATCACTGTCACGGTTCAGCTGTTCTATTTCAGCTATCAACATTTCTTCAGAAATTGTAACATCATGACGTATTACTTCCGCATCAATTCCAACATTTCTAGCAGCTGTGATTTTCTTGTTGACGTAAGTGTGGCTTGCAGGATCGTCACCAACTAAGATGCAACGGATGCTAGGTGCCCTGTGACCAAGGCTCATCCAATTGGCAATATTATCTTTAAGCTCTCTTTGGATTTCAGCTGCCAGAGCTTTTCCGTTGAGGATTCGGGCCATGATACTGTAAATAAAAAACTAATTTAGAGAGTATACAAACATTATTGCATTTTATAATTATTACAAAACAAATCAAACAATTTAATAAAATGTTAATTTTTTTCAGAGATAGTATTATCAACTCCTTAATTTTTTAGCAAGGTTTTTAATCTATGGTAATGATACAATAATGTGAAATTATCCTGAAGTTATTATGTAAAACTATTAACACTTAACCACTAAAGATTTATAAAATTACATATAGCAATTTGAATTTATACTACAAAGCTCACTCAAACCATTAAATTGACAATAGAAAATTATTTAAGAATAAGTTGTAGAACACAAGTGCTAGGTAATAGATGACAGTGTAACATTATGTAATAAATCAAAAGCCACAACACAAATTTTTCTATTAATTTTACCTGGCCGAGCCCAAAGTATCATTATATGTGTGACTTCTCATTGTGGATGTCAGTAGTAAACTAAATTCCTTGAGACAGATGATTCGCCTCATCGCCTACTGTTGACACGCATAGGTCATTAGGTCAACAAAACCCAAGATATGATTTACGTACCATTACAGATAAGAAACTGAATCTTTCAATGTATTTCTGAGGAAGAATCTAAACAAAACTGGTTCCTTTCGGTTAAAAAACTACTACTTTAAGGGGAAAGAAGTTCAGAGTGTTTCTTAACCTCTGAATATTAGGTGCAAAATGTTTATTGACTGAGGGAAAACATGTTATAACATTTGCATCAATCATTCTGAACAATGAAATAAGGTGGTAAGTAAATTACAAGTAAGTATTGTTTGTAAATAAGCACTTACCCAAATTAAAACTAAAATAATTAAGTTATGAACCTATCAGGCGCAATTACACACAGAATGTGCATGTCATATCTAGTTTAACATCAAAGTATCAATGTGTTGAATAAACAAAGACCAGTAGAATGGTACTAAACATCCTTCCTGGTTGCTCATGAAAATTAAACAAAATTACTTTGTGCTGAATGAACCATGAAATAGCAATAAGGTTCATTTTATAATAAATTAGTTTTTTGTGTACTCATTTGTGAATAGAATAGTATTTTGCTCACCTTGTTCCTTATATTTTTTGCAAAACCTTTGTTTAATATGCTCTTACTGTGGCCACGTGTACACAACGTTACTGTTAGAATGGAAAATTTGCAGTCAGCTGAATAACCTGTAACACTAACTTTTATAGGTGACACTGCATCTAATCAAACCTTCCAAACATTTACAATTTAGTTTGATTAGTTCATAACATAACCTAGTGTTGCAATATTTGAGTTTATATAAAAGGCTGTACAGTTATAAAAGTAAAATCGATTACAAAAGACACCCATTTACTGAATACAGTCAGAAAAGGTCTCAATAAGTCGGCATTTGTTATTAATTTTTCTTAAAACTTTGATTAGGTTAGATTATTTATTCTTGAATCTAAATCAGCGACTTAGCTATCAAAATGCACGCTATCTTTGACGTATATATTCTTAACTTTACGTTTAGTTAGTAATTAATTTGTATACTTTTCAAACCGTGTCGTATTTTTTTTTCTAAAATGAGTTTCAAGGTTAATTTTTTTAAGTATTATTTGTTTTATGAAGTTTTATGTATCTTATTTTATAAAATAACAGGACACCGAGTTTTTGTAAGGACAGTTTTTACGCTATTATTGTGGTTTATAGTATTCAATCTACAGCAAACTAATTCAGGATATTTTGTGTTTGTACTAATACTAATAACTTAATCGGTATAACCCGAAGAGGAGACAAGAAAAGAAAGATGTTGAGTCTTTACCTATGAAGTTGGAGATTTGTACCTACCTATGTAAATTTTAAAATATAATAAAATTATCTACCTACTATACTTACATACAATTTTGCCATTTTCATTTCAATTTGTTTATCTCTTCACTGTAGAAGTCTGCTAAATTGGAGGCGATGAAGTAAGTCAAAGCGTTTTGTACTGCTTCTGGGGTGTGAATTTTTTTTCACTAATTTTTTTTTTTTTATAAATGTTGAAAAAAGTAGAAATCTGTCGGGACAAGGTCCGTTGAGTAAGATGGGTGACGCAGAGCTTCCTCTTAGCTGTAGCAGGAGTGTAGCTGAGCTGTAACTGTTGTAGTTTTGCGATTGTCTGTCGTGAAGTGTAAGCTTGCGCGTCGTTGTGGAGATGACCAGTCGTGGTTGTTGAATTGCGAGCTTCTCCATCATTATTTGCAATTCTTGGCTGTGACATCTGCCGTTAATGTTGTGCCATTCGGTAAGAAGCTGTGATGGCACTCCGGCATTGGTCCACCAGATGACCAAATCTCGAGATTGTGTTGTTTGCAGATGATACATCACTTTTATTTAGACTAAAACGGACACTTCCTGATTTCAAATTCGTAAACAACGCCATCTTGAAAGTGGTTCATTGGTTTGACGTCAACAATTTGCTATTAAATGAACAAAAAACTAAGTGTATACGTTTCAATTTGCCAAACGTCAAGCCAGTGAAAACTACTGTGATGATTAAGGATGTCGGGCTGGACCTTGTGGACACTACGACCTTTTTAGGTATAACTCTAGATTCTAAGCTACAGTGGGGCCCACATATTGATAAATTGTCGAGTAGACTCAGCTCAGCAGCATACGCAGTAAGGAAAATTCGAGAGTTGACTGATGTTGATACAGCACGACTTGTTTACTTCAGTTATTTTCATAGTATAAAGTCGTACGGTATTCTAATGTGGGAGAATGCTGCCGACATTTAAACTATTTTTGTGCTGCAAAAGAGAGCGATTCGAGCACTTAATAATTTAGGCAATCGTTGTTCATTGAGGCAGAAATTTAAAGAAAATAATATAATGACAATTACAAGTCAATATATTTGTGAAAATGTAATATATGTTCATAAAAACAAAGATAGCTTTTTGAAAAAAAGTGATGTACATTCTATAAATACCAGAAATAGAAATATACTTGTAGTAATCACCTCTAGGCTCCAAAAGATAAACAAGTCTTTTCGAGGTCAATGTGTTCGATTTTATAATAAAATCCCAAATATTATTCAAGAGTTAAGTATTAACAAATTTAACTACCTACTACTCAATTGTGGATTACATTGAAGACAAGAATGCTTGGGATTAATTAGCGCAGGCTATATCTTTCTTAAGTATAAATGTAGTGTGGCTAGTGTGTTTATTATTATTATTAATTTTTCTATTTTTTATTTTTCACTTTATTTTTTCTTTTATTCTTTTTTTTCTTCAATCTTGTTTTCTCTTCATTGTCTGTTTACCTTTTACTCCTGAATAACGGACATACTGGCACACATCAAAAGAATGTTGTGGTATACTTAATAGTGTCATTGCTATCTGTGAATTGCAAAAGAGTGGCCATGAGTTTGTTGTTCTATCACGCTCCATTCAAGGTCAGGTCAAGGCTTAGAAAATACTTGTTACGATAGGTATTTTGTTTTTAAACGGGGTAGTGATACAGCACGTACCTATTGGATTATACATACACAATGCCTAGGTGTGTTTTTAACCGATTTCAAAAAAAAGGGAATGATCTCAATTTGTTATCTCAGAACTCCGAAATTATTATATAAGGGTATACCAAAGGCTTGATCACATTTAAATTGGGAAAAAAAATACTTTCGGTGAAAATGAGAATGAAGCAAGAAGAAATGCAGAATACAATTTATTAGAATGAATTCATCATGATTTATGCATTGAACTGTGTAAATTCACAGAATAATTAACGTGGAATAGATATATTTTGGTTTATTATAATAATAATAAAATATTTTTTCTCTCGTTTATTTGTCCGAGATGAAGCGTTTAGTTGTACTCGTAGTTACTTAGATCTCCTTATTAAGTATCAAACATTTAAAATACCTAGTAGACACAAAGAAACAATTTCAGTTAAATGTTTTAAGAGGTTATCGACACGTTTCCAAATATGTGCTATCTGCCTATTACATATTTATCTTGAAAAAAACCGCAGTGCCTACTTGAATGGTCGTCAAAAATGCTGATAACTATTCAGATGGCCACACCCACTGGATTTCATTGGAGAAAAATAAAGTATATTGTTAAGCGACTTATTTTTTCTATGTTAGTCACCTCAGGATTCCGTCAGTTATAAACCAAACTTGAAGAAATAATATGGGTGGCATTACTTCTATTACTCGTCTGGCTAAAGTTGTTTATTAAGAAAAAAAACCTTCCTTTCTAAGGAGAAGTCTATGTCCAGCAGTGGACTATTAAAGTCTGTTGATAAATGGAATGAAGGGGTAGAAAATTAAGGATAAAATAAATTGCATTTCTGTTCGCAATTTAGTAGTATGTTATTTATATTTGTTTTCTCAAACTCTTTTATGCATGAACTGGTTTAGAATTTTTTTTTATTTAAAAGGAATATCCCGTTTTATGTACATCAAGATGAAGATGCATTGAAGCCTACCTACAATTTAAGGCACCTTCGCACTGGAAATATATTCTGTGTCACGGGGGACTTTACACACTTTTATTAAACATGCACAACCAACACCCAGACTCAGAACAAAAATAATATGGATCACACAAAGTAGTGTCCCATGTGGGGATTGAAATCATAACACTCAGCGCAGTAGAAAGCGGTGAGGTGACCGCTCAAACAGCTACGCCATCCGTGCAGACTCTCTCTCTCGACACAATTGCAAAATTTATACTAATAGGTAGGCTTATCTAAATATCTTATGGATGCAACTTGACACACTTCTACTATATACTACTTACTTAAATCAAATGTCTACGAATTAATGGCTATACCAAAATATCGTCAATAATAAAACCTTAGTGCTTCTGTACTAAGTAAGCACGTAATAAATACACTCGAGAGTAATAAATCTGCGTCGGATTTTAAATGAATACCTTCAAAAGAGGAACATTTTATTACAATAATATTTATTCATTCACCAGATTTGAAGATTTTCAGGTTTAGGACTTTAAAGCGACTGGAATTCATTTATGTGATTCGAGTTCATGTTTTTGAGTGTAATTTAACTTCTACAAATAGAGAAATGATATAATTTTTAACAAGGTGAGCAATTGGACCTAAAATAGAGATTGTTAACGATACCGTAAAATTTTTCACATGATCTTGATTATAGACGATAAAATGTGGTTTCAGATAAATTGTGGTTGGACTTGGTTTCGATAAAATGTATTGTTCTTTATTGTTGTTGTATTTGTGACGTATAGTACCTACCGAGGCTCTGTTACACGTTGAATTTGATAGTTTAAAGGTACCTGCTTCTACAGGTAAATCTGTGATGTAATCAAGATCTATATGTTTTTAAAGTAATATGGTAATAATATTGTAATACAACTTATTTAGCAAAATATCTGTTGAGGGTTCTATGTTACCAAAAGTACATGTTCAGTTTGCAGTGTAACACGCATGAAGCAC